TGGTGTTAATATTATATCTTGTTTTTGGACCATTTCCCCCATTTTCTTTAGGTATATCCGATTCAATACAAATCGAATATCTTTGATAAATTTTTACATTTTCGTGCTTATATACACAACAATTCAAATGTGACATTAAGGCGTTTGTTTTTTGTAAAAAACCTCTTCAGACCTCTTATTGTTGCGCCGCGCAACACTTTCAATCTCGCAGTTGTTTGTTTTTTAGAAGTCTTCAGAGTAAAAAAAGCTCTGCGTATGTTCTGTTTGGCGCAACACTTGATTGCCTCTTCCAGCCTCTTCCAACCTCTTCTTCTTCTTTTTTCTTGCTGAAATCTTGGTTATATGTTGCTGAAACCTTTTTTTTACCTTTTTTTTTGTTTTTTTTGTTTATTCCTGTTGAATTCTTTTTTTTCGATTTTTTAATATTGAATAATGACAATTTCTTGATGAAATATCATTATTTTTTGCTAAAATATATTTATTTTTTTGTTGAAATATCATTATTTTTTTGCTGTAATATCATAAATTCTTGCTGAAATGTTATACATTATTAATTTTTCGGTATTAAAAAACTATTTTGGTTTATAAAATCAGTTTATTTTAAATTTTTAATATCTACAACAGCATGCAGATGTTAAAAAAACAAACACACTTTTTATTACAGTCTACAACCGTTTGGTCCACCTCTTCTACCGCAGAGGGTTGCAGAGGTGGTCTGCAGACTTCATGGATTTTTGCTTCAAAAAAACAAACAACACCTAAATCAATCCAATGAGATCATGGGGAGAATTTCAAAATCACGAGTTTCATTCACTTTTTGACCAAAATGGCATCACCTTTCGTTTCTCCTATCCTCATACTTCCCAAAAAACGAGATGTCTGAAAGTATGATCCGCTCTATCAATAATATTATTCACACCCTTTGTTTCAAGCTCACATGCCCACAACCCATTATTTCGAAGCCTTATATATGGCCATGCACCTCTTAATCCTTACCCTTCCACCTCCATCAAAAATAAAATTCCTTTCACCAAATTATTCAACAAAACCCCCTCTTATTCTCACTTTCAGGTCTTCGGGTGACTATATTACCCTCACCTTAATCCTCCCGATAAACTCTCACCTCGCTCTATGACGTGCGTCTTCCTCGGTTACCCCTCAAAACATCAATGATTTTGTTGTCTTGATCTTTCCTCATGAAATATCATCATATATTGTTATGTTACCATTGATGAATCCTCCTTTCCCTTCTGCTCCATGACTCCAAATAAACCACCCTCATACACATTTCTTGATCGCCTTGATCATGAATCACCAATCTCTTGCCACTTCCTTAAGACTTCTTCACATACTTTATCTGAACCTCCCTTTTTATGTTGGTTCACAAACAACATAACCTTAACCTCTTAATTCTCACTCCCTTGTAGTTATCTACCCTCCCCAGCTTCCATAAATCAAATCGAGGCCCCTCCCGCCCTCCTCCTAGCCACAGTACGGTCACTTGATCTCAATGTGGCATCTCAAAACCTTTTAATTATCTTAATCTTCATGTATCGAGTCCTCCATACCTAAGTCCCATATTCATGATCTCTATGACCCAAAATGGAGCATTGCCATGAAAGAGCGATTTGATGCTCTTATTTCGAACATAACTTGGGTTCTTGTTTCGAGGCTTCCAAGCGATAATGTTGTAAATTCTATGTGTTTATTTAAAAAGAAATACAAAACAAATGGTTCTCTCGATAGGTGCAAGGCGCGATTAGTTGCTAATAGGAAACGCTAAATACCCGACATTGATTGTTATGAGACCTTTAGTCTGGTCGTTGAGCCGAATACCATACAATTAATCCTCAACATTGTTGTCACTCGACATTGGTCGGTTTATCATTTGGACGTAAAGAATGACCTTCTTTATTGTAAACTCAACGAGACTATCTACATGCACAAGCCTCTAGATTTTCATGATGAAGAGCATCATGATTATTCTTGCTACCTTCAGAAGTCTCTTTATGGCTTGAAACAAGCCCCTCGAGTCTGGTTTCTAAGATTCACCGAGTACATCACCCGAATCATTTTTGTTCATAGAAAATCTGATTCCTCCATGTTTATTAATGAAATTATACTGACGACATCATCGATAGATCTTATGCAACACACCATATCAATGTTATCATTTGAGTTTGCCATGAAAGATATGGGCAATCTATCTTACTTTCTCGGCATCTCGGAATCCTGAGATAAGACCAACGTTTTTCTTTCCGAACAAAAATATGTATTGGAGATTTTATAGCAAGCACACATGTCGAACTACAATCCAATGTTGCACCCCAGTCAAGTCTTAGATGAAACTTGACCATACCGGCCCTCCTGTGGCCGAATCCACTTACACCGCAGTGTGGTCGGCGGTCTTTAGTATCTGACTTTTACATACCTAGATGTATCCCTCTTGATTCAATATATTTTCTTCTATATTCATGATACCAGAGAGCCTCATCTGAATGCTCTCAAATGCATCTAGCGCTACATACGTGGAACTATTGACCAAGGCTTTCATATACACCTGTCTACCACCACCGTCCTGATCGCTTATTTTGATGCCGACTCGGGTGGGTACCATGTCTCTCATCGTTCAACCAATGGGTACCATGTTTATCTTGGTGACAAACTTATATCATGGTCCTCAAAATGACAACGATTGTTTCCTTGTCAAGTGAAATAGAGTACAGAGGCATTGACAACGCTGTGGCAGAGATGTTGTCTTCATAATCTTTTGCATGAGCTTCATTGTCCTCTATCGAAGGCCACCATTATCTATCTTGATTATGTTAATGCCTTTTATCTATCGACCAATCCCGTTCAACACGAACATACATTACACATAGAGATCGACATTCACTTTGTGTATGATAAGGTCACCATTGGATAAATTCAGGTTCTAAGTGTCCCTTACAGTCTGTAGTATGCTGATATCTTCACCAAATGATTCTCATCTTCTCTATTTACTAACATTTGTTCCAGTTTAAGTGTTCGTCCTATCAACAACCCCCCCCCCCCCCCCACCAAAAAAAAAAAAAAAAAAATTTGTAGGGGCATATTAGCGTACATTATTATTATTTTAGTTACATGTTCTATAGCCCACATATAGTAGTACAATAAGATTAATCTTCATGTACACTTTGTATCCTCTGATAAATTGAGTAATAATACAAATCCTAATTATGGAAAAATATTCCAAAAAAGTTAACATATTGGCAAAAAAAATCGAATAGCTGGATTGATTTAGTGTCAAATATTTGTTTTTGTTTTTGTTTTGTTTTTGTTTTGTTTTTTGTTTTTTGTTTTTTTTTAAATCACGTGGAGATAATTGGCCACGTAATGGTTCAATGTGTGGTGGCGACTACTATATGGTCTCCTATTGGAAGTTGGTGGGAATTACGTTTCTTATGATGTCTACAGTTAAAGGATGACTTTCTTAGGTGGACTTGGTGAATATGTTGGCTATGCAAAGATCATCATTGCAAGCGGTTGTATACACTATGTTATGGGTGCTATGGAATTTTATGAATTTTTTTGTGGTGTTTGGGGCTCACAAACGGAGGAAGGATATTGTGTTCGATAAGATCGTTTATCATTCGTGGATAGAATTTTTAAATTGAAAGTCAAATGAATTTCCTTACTTCTGAATCCAATATTGATTATTAATTTTCTGTATTTGTTTTTGTTATTTCTAGCTTCACGGAAGGTGTATATTGCAAATTTTAATATGAATAATTTTAGCCCATCATCATCGTAAGCTTGGTGAAACAAATTCATTATCTTGTTATGCCAGAATATGCTATAATTTCATGCCAGTAAAAACCATGAATGTAAATAAATTTCCATGTAACACATGGCACAAACAAATATATCCTAATTTTAAAAACATATATGAAGACCACCCAATCAATCTTGGTTGGTGCTTGTCTAATAATTCCATCTATTATTTATTACACGAGTATATCGACACTTGTTAGCATTATCATAAGTGTATTTTTGCATATTTTTAGTCACCGTGTTTCTATCGATAACATATTAATTTATCAAAAGAATCTCCAAATATGATATATTATTATTTCCTTCTCGAATAAACCTTTTTTTTTTTTTTTTCTGAACCGTCAAATTTTATTATATTCAGTTTTTTGACATTGTCAACTCTTCACTTTTTTTTTCTGCATTTTGTTTTAGAGTTATACTTGTTTTTGTAATTTTGGTTTTAAAATCTTCTGAATCCGTTCCATGATCCAACGTTGTCAAGATCAAGATTTTACAGATGATTGTTTTACATTTTGTAAGATCGTAATCGGAAGATACTATATAAATGAAGTGGTCTCAAAATTTGTTCGCAATATATTGTTAATTCGTACATATTATAACTTGATGTTGATTAAGATATTGATGATGGATTGAATTTTAATTTCCTAAGAAGTAACCATAATTGCTATAGATGCAAACCAAAACAACTAGGAAAAACACATCTTAAGCAAAAAAAAAAAAAAAATCACTCTAATCATGTACAACTAAAAACACAAATATCACAATGGGACTGACCAATGTGTGGTGATGCTTTGTCTAATTCAAGATTTTGTCTAATTCAAGATTAATGGATGAAGTGGTGTGCTCTGTGAAGTTTCATGTGATCTGTAATGCTCGGTTTTATGTTGAATGAAAAGAAAAAAAATTTGGGCTTGGATGAGATTTTTTAGGCTATGTATGAGATTTTTTAGGCTTGACTATATGTCAAACACTAAGAATGTTGGATCAAATCGGGATAACATATTGCAATCCAAATCGGGAATCTAAGATCCCAAATCTTGTTTCAGAATTGATTCTAATGTGATTGTAATCACTTTTCGTTTGTAGGATATTAAGCTCGTAAGATCAAGAACAAAATCTTAACAACCATGCCCTAATCGATCGAATATTTCAAAATAACGAACAAAAACCTATTTGGATCAATTATTGTGCTATTCATTCTCGACATAATTGTTAGTTAAATTACAAATCATTAAAATAAAAAGTATGTTTTCATTTCGGGCAATTAAGCTAAAATATAAACCACTACATCAAGATTCAATGACCAAAAGAGGTCACATCCAAACAATTCTTCTCTATTTTTCTGTTTGGAACTTAAATGTTTTTAAATAATTATTATACTACATAAAACCAGGGAACATTCTGATATATTTATATACTCCTCCAATCTAGATGCAATGAGTGTTAAGGGTCACAAGGACACGCCAGGCGAAGGCATTTTTCCACTATTGTGACCTATTTCCTGGTAGAATAAAAATTGTGTCATGGAGATAATATTTTTAAAATATTTTATTTTGGGTTTATATTTATTGTATCATATTTGCTAAAAAGTGGGACTAATAATTACCAAACTTTTTACTAGAGTTTGATGGAACCCTAGTTTACTAACCGGTGAAGGTTCTAATATATTTTAGAGTAAATTATGCGAATGGTCCTTATGGTTTGGGGTAATTTGCGCGCTTGGTCCCTAACTTATTTTTTTAACTCGAAAGGTCCCTATTGTTTGTTTTTGTTACGCGTTTGGTCCCTACTGTTTGTTTTTGTAACACGCTTGGTCCCTGTCTTACATTAAAAGACTATTATTTAAATAGAGAAAATTGATGGGGTAGATAAGGTAAGATGAGGGGGTTGGGGTGTGTTTATTTAAATAAATTAAAAATCAAAGGCAAAATAGTGTTTTTAGGTAGGACGGGGACTAAGCGCGTAACAAAAACAAAAATAGGGATCTTCCGAGTTAAAAAATTAAGTTAGGGACCAAATACGCAAATTACCCTAAACCATAGGGAACGTTTGTGTAATTTACTCTATATTTTATAGTATATTGGGACCCACACCACCGGATTATAAAAGTGGAATAAGGGGTGACCTTCGACATTTATGACAAGATAAACATCAATTTCGCTTTTTTTTTTAGCAAAATTACATAATTCATAAAAAATGTGTTTTCTTTTTCGTCAAATGAATAAAAAAGGATGCAATATCGCAAAAAATTGAAAATTTGCATTTCATAAAAGAAATACATTGGGAAATTCCATTTGAAACATGTGTGGTTATTTTGTGATATTTGTTCAAAACATGGTTACCATGTTGATTCACATTCACCCCTCCTATTTTGGTTTTGTTTGTGATTAACCCTTAAAACAAACTATTTAAATATCAAATATGATCCAATAAATATAAGCCCAAATTAGGAAACCCTAACAATCACATTAAATGATTAAATTCCACATATTAGTCATTTAGTTTACCTTCATATTCGTAAACCCATAGTGATTCTCATTTGTGAGTTCCGAACCAAAAACAATTTCTGGTTTCATGATGTTTGTTAATGTAGGCATCCCAATGTGGTTAGGAATATCAAATTCCCTTCGAATTGAGAAATCTTGATTTTGGGTGAATGTAACTCCAACTTCACTTGTATTTGGTAATTTGAATCCCTCATTGTATATCATTCCCCTTTGCAATTCTTGTTCTTGTGAATATATAGGTGGCAAGCCGAACCCGTTTCTCATAGTAAGCGTCTGCAAGATTTAATCAAATCAGTTATTTTTCCAGTATTAGAGTTATCAGATGCTATAAATTTAGAACACACAATGAGTTCTAGTTTACAAGAGAGAATGAAATATATATACCTGTACTTTCAGTTGAAGCTGTTTCAGATATTCAATGGCTTCATCGAGCATTGATGCCTTATCAGTCTATGGTACAAAAGAAGATAGAAAATTTAAATCATTATAAACCAGAGTTAAGGCATATACATGACGAAAAAGTTTCTATTTCCATGTTCTATTGTCATCAGTGTGTGATAGATCATTAGAAATTTGATGAGGTTGTGAAGTTTTGATACCTTGTTAGAATTTGGAACCAAGGTCTGCAAAGCTTTCAGTTTCTCGTTAATTCTACTCCTCCTTCTCTGAAAAAGGATTTTTTCATATGTATATCAGTATACATTGAAAGGAGAAGAAGCTCAAAATTCAACGATATTCAGAATGGAAGACAGACCTTCTCAGACAGATTATGAATCTCTGCTGCTCTTGTCCTCTTTGAGGAACGTGGAGGGTTTGAATTTTGACGCCCCTCGGACTGTTTTTGTACCTTTAGATCCCAGTAAGGTATTGATGAGATATACAGAAACATCAACGAGGAAAAGAAGAATGGAAGATAAAGTACAAAAAAAAAAGAACGAATCTTCTTCAAGTGGAAACAAACTCGGTACTCAGTAGATCGAAAATCCAGAAACATTCGAACTATAACTCAAATCGGAAGAAGAAGAAGAAGATGAAGCTAAAAATTGAAGTATATCCTTTTAATTTCAGTAACACAGGGATCATAGAGGACACAATTCACCACCGATTACAAGTGAAAACAAAAATCGTACCTGACATCCTATATCAAATCCAGCCACATCGATTGTCGGAGGAAAGTTTACCTGATTCGCCTCCGTTGAATAAAAAGAGCTGAGATCAGAAATCCGGTTGTCAGAATCTAGAAAATCAGTAGGAATCGACGGCGGCGAAGGGAGCAACTGTTCATACTTTCCCTTAGTTGACGGATTGTTGAGGAAAGTTTGGAGGAAAGACGACATATCTTCGGATTCAAGTGAAGAAGAAGAGGAAAAAGAGCGATCGTTGTTGGTTCCGTATAGATCCGCCATTAATTAACACCAACAACAACCCACGCTCGAGTAATGATTGCAAAGGAAACGTACAGAGAAATGCAAAGGATGATGAGATTTGTGACAATGAGAATTTCCTGTTTCTGCAAAATTGAACTTTGAATTGTTTCTTGTGTGTTTGTTCTTGATTTGTGTGTGTTTGTACTTCAGTACTCGCGTCTGTGAAAATGGGGTTTTATAAGGCTTCAGAGTTTAGAGGGAGATTAGAGAGGGTTTTTAACCAACTTGATTCCCTTCTCCCGCCTTAATTGTTTTCTATATATTTATAGGTCCTTAAGGTTTCCTAATTATCATATTTGTTCCCTCGTTTATATAAAAATAAAATGTATTACATTTATTAAAAAAAAAATGAATTTCCATTCGTATCAGAAAAGAAAATCCAATGATCTATTTTGACATGGAAGGAAAGCAAATCACAATGTCTTCACACAAGATATAGGAAGAAAAAATTTATAATATTCTTTCTAATAAATAAAGATTTTTTTTGCTATTTGTCACACTCTTATTCAATTTGCCAAATGTCATTTTGTAGTTATTTTGAATTAATTCTTTTTTCACATGTTATTTTTATAAGTTTTTCTATTTTATTAAATTTCACATAATATTTTAATGTAATAAATGCAATAAATGTAGTAATAATTCTCTCTATTAAATAAAGATTTTTTTTGCTATTTGTCACACTCTCATTCAATTTGTCAAATGTCATTTTGTAGTTATTTTGAATTAATTTGTTTCCACATGTCATTTTTATGAGTTTTTCTATTTTATTAAATTCCACATAATATTTTAATGTAATAATTGCAATAAATGTAGTAATAAACGGATATCAATTTCATTAATAAACTTACCTTTTAATTTCAAAATTCTCAAAATTAAAGCTCATTAATTTCTTTTATCTATTTAAATTAATTGTTTAAATTTAAAAGATAAAAAACATTTCTATTATAATAATTAATTATTTTTCTTATTTTCTTTTAAATTCAAAGTTCTTAAATATATTAACCTTTATATTTAACTTTTTTTTTAAAATTAACTCATATAATACATGAGTCTTACAACTAGTTATCTTATAAAATTCATTTATAAGGATGATTCTATTTTTATAGATAACTCAAAGATTTTCGAATTAAAAGATAACTAATGATCATTGAATTAGATTATCATGTAGCTAATATGAATCACTAAAATCGTAGAACTTATGAAACGAATCTTATAAAACTATCAGTCTTGATTGGAACTGAACATGATGAATTTAGAACTCTTAATTATAGCTTATTTTATGTTTCTTGTATAGTATAGAGACTTTATTGTAAATTTGATATATATATATATATATATATATATATATATATATATATATATATATATATATATATATATATATAGGGAGTGATTCAAATGAGAACCTAAAAATGTTAAGAACCTTAAGAACCATTTTTTAAATGTTTTCATTAAGAGCATTTTTGACAAATCCAACATTTATATTTTATTAAGCAAACTATTTCATTCCTTAGTTTACAAACTATTTGCCACTTGTCGTTGGACCACCGTTGGACCGTCTCCGAACCACTGCAAGACCAACATCGGACCGCCACCGGACTAACAATAAATTCAGTGACATTTTCTTGATTGTATTCACAACTTAATAGAACAAGCATTGTAGCTCTCATTTCTTTGATAATACTTCCAAAATATACAAAAGTTTAGTACAAAAAAAAATAGAATTATTTCTTGAAATATTCATTTATTTTTTCTAAATTATAGAATTCTTTAAAAAATATATCGTGAGTAAGAAATATTCACAGTTTAAAATATACTATTCATAATTTAATAAACATAATAATTCACCAATACACAGTTTAATATTTTCATTCATACATTCATTCATATTTTAACACAAAATTTATATAAAATATACAACTTAATACAGTCAATTTTTAGTTTAATACATAAAAAAATCACAACATACAATCAGTTATACACAAATTCATATATTTTAAAAAGTCAAATCCAAACTCTACAACCACTACCAACTACTATTGCACACGCCGTCACCAACCACTTGTGCCAGCGTTGCAACAATCCTTCCTTCCAAAATGTTTGACAATATCCCAGAATCCTCAAAAAACATAATCTCAAGCTGGTGTGTACAATCAAGTCGGCGCCTTCCCGCGATCCTCAGAGGTACCTGAAGCACATATCACACAAAACTGTAAGCACGAAGCTTAGTGAGTTCCCCAAAATACCATGCACAAATAATTAGCCTCTCATGACTATATCTCAATAAGGACCCTCCGGTCATGTGTCTCAGTGAGGACCCTCCGGTCTCACAGCTCGGGTCGGACTCTCCAGTCCGGTATCTCAGTGAAGACCCTTCGGTCTTACAACTCGGTTTGGACCCTCCGGTCCTAACTCAATAAAGCACAGAAATAATATACAACATAAATCACAAAAGACAAAATGCATGATATCACATATGTGACAACCCGAAATCTCTATCTGTAAGTCAACTCGATCAATAAAAAGTCAAACTTGTTCCTGCTATCGTTTTTCGGTGATTAGGGTCAGTTTGAGAGTTTCTAAGCCTAGTACACTCAAGGATTGTGCGTTAGGAAGTGTTACCTCGAGTTCATTGAGTTACATTCGAGCCGAAAACATCATCTAGGGATGTTCACGGCCGCAAACTAAGTTCACGGCCGTGAACCCATGTTTGGCCGTGAACCCCTCTCCACATATATATATATATATATATATATATATATATATATATATATATATATATAATATATATATATATATATATATATATATATATATATATTCCTTCATTTACTCCTCATTTCTTCCCTCCTTGGCCGAAAACTACTCAAGACTCTCTCAAGACTCGTCCAACAAAAGACCTCTTTCCACCCCACAAACGTAAGTGATTCTCCCCTTTTCACTTGTTATTCATCTTATTCATGTAAAGTGCTTCATATTCATCCATTGATTCATCACTTTCATCACCATCTTTATGATCTTCAAGAGTTCACAACCATGAACCCTTCATAGGGTCGTGAACCCTTCATAGATGGACCGTAAACCCTTCAAGTGTTCATGAGTTGGCCGTGAGCCCTTCATGTGTTCATGGGCCGTGAACACATCTTACGCCGTGAACCCATAGTGGTTGGCTGTGAACTCCTTTTTGTCCCTCATTTTCGGTTCTAACACTTCATTGTAAGTGTTTCCTACATTCTAAGGTTGTTTCCTATGATTGTTAGTTGTTATAGACGCTAATTGTAGGCCTATTCGTGTTAATATGTACTTAATAGGACCTTATTGTGCTCGGGACTTCACTTAGAATACCAAGAATCCTATCTTTGTCATTCATCCAAGTCACTCTCAATCAGTTGAGTTCATACCCTATATTTTTCGAGCTTTTTAATGTTTTAAGGGGGGAATACAAGTAAAACACAAGAAATTGGCGTTTAAAAATATAATGTAGTTATTATATTTTCTTATCGTTAACATACTTTTGAACACAGAACTTGCTAAATATGAATCTTGAACAGAGGCACCATTTTCATAAAGATACATGTTAATAACAAAAAGGGGTTTTCATAGTTTTATTCGTGAATTCGTTGAGAGAACTACATTGTTAGACACGACTTCTGGGAAGTCTACTCCTTAGGAACCAGAGTCTCCTGGAGAGAGAGCTTGAGTTTGTGTATAGATCTATACGGGACTGAAAATCCCGCACCCTGACTATTAGCTACAGTCAACCGAGGGTGACAAACGTCATTTCAGTTTTCGACGTCCGAAGTACGTCGTATTCGTTATCGTCCATTAGCATGGTTATAAGAACTCACTGGGGAAACAACGACTCGTTCACGTAATAATATACTTAACAATCAGTCATCAGGGTTAATAACTAGGGGATTACTTAGTATATACATCAGGGTTATATGAAATTAACATCCGACATGCAGTGGGATGTGTGACTGCCGCCTCATTCCCTGTTCCTTGTTTGGTTGTGGGCTTAGGGCAGAATCACCCAATCGACTGTCTGTTTGATTTAGATTTCTATAATTCGTATGTACTAAGTGATCACAGGAGGGTATTAACAACACTTTCAGTTTACAAAACAATACATTTTCGACTAGTCTTATTTTAAGAAATAAACTACTATACATTACTGGCGGTAGCCAGGGTTTTCAAACAGAATAGTGCATAAACAAAATAAGTATGATAGATACTTGTACTCTTCAGTTTTGGAACAGTTAATTCAATAACTTACACTTAGGGAAAATATAGGATTTTCCAGGATAAACATCAATACTTTACAAACAAATGGGTTTATTATTCAACTAACGAATATTCATTAATTATTCTATAATTCCTTAGTTTATGCATCCGGGTTACGTATGAATAATATCCGATAGACTGTGGAATATGTGGTTCCCGCCTCATTTCCTGTTCCTTGTTTGGTTGTGGGCTTAGGGCAGATCCACACATTTACTGTCTGTTCGATATTGGTTTATACATAACTAGTATGAACTAAGTAGTTATAGAAGGAATTGGTTTAATCATGCTTTCACTAAGAAAATATTGGATTTTCTTGAGGAACACCATCAATAGATTTCAAAAGACCAATATAGTTAACTTTGTAAGTACTTAGTGAATACTTTAGGGTTATATACATGAATATCCGACAACCAGTGGAATGTGTGGCCTCCGCCTCATTTCATGTTCCTTGTTTGGTTGTGGGTTTGGGGAAGAACAACACAATTGATTGTTTGTTTGATCTGGATTGTATATGATTTGTATACACTAAGTACTCGCAGGAGGAACTTGTAAGAATCATTTTACTTAACATTCATTACATCCGATAATATAAGGGTTTCTGGAGAAACACAACACACTTTTCAAAAGAGCACAAAACCTATTTTCTTAAACAAAACGCTTATGAACTCACCAGCTTAATGCTGATATGCTTTCAA